TAGTGAGAATTTAAGGTATATTTTAATATTAGTTAGTTTTATCCTCCCTTATTGCTCTACTTCAGATGTTTCCTTTTCTTCCTTATTTGTGTACTATTCCTTCCAAAGTTAATATTTAATATTAACTTGTCTGTTTTTAAAAATCTATGAATACTTTTCTTGGCATCCACAGCATTTATAAAATAATACAGGAAGATGATACTTTATTGCATTCAATCTTTCCATCCAAGGATGTAGTACACCTTTGTACTTAAACAGTTTCCTTACACACGAGGATTCTTAAATGATCTATGTAGACTATTCATGAAAAGAGAAAGGGTGTTGGTTACGATTGGGTAGTGTTAAGGCTTTATCACCCCAAATCAATCTAAATCTTCTAAAACCTCAAACAGTTATTCCCCAGTGTATTAAAAACATTAATGTGCCTTTTGAATGAGTAAGAATCCAGTTGTCTGTGCTTAAAAGATTACCTCCTACCCCTTTCTTCTCACCTCCCTTCTGCACCAGGCAGCTCCCATTTTGCACTTAGGTTTCACATGCCTTGGTTGAGACTGCGTCAATTGTCTTGCTGTGTGCTTCCATAATACCTGTAATTCTGCCAGCATAGCACTAAGTGCTCCTTCTTGAAAGATTTCAATGACTTTCATCTTTCTTGTTCTCAACAATAGCCATTGTTCTTTGGGGGAGGCTTATTAAAGAAACAAAGAATTAATTGAATAAATGTGTGATTCTAGAATAAAAGTTTTCTCTATATCCAAAACTCTCATATTATTTTCATTTCTGATATTTCACATAAGCAAAAAAAAGATTCAAATAAGTATCCTAGTGAATAGAAAGAATTGCAAAGAAAGATTAAAAGACAAACATTTCAATGAACAGTCAACAGCCTTGAGTGAGCACCATTTCATCACTTGTAGAATTCAACACATGCGTACTTTCCTTACCTACAACCATCTATCACTTAATTATTTATTAAAAAAGTAGCTAAACACTTTGTATAGTTATGTAGAATATAGAGAAAGCTGAGTCATTTATAAATGTGTGTGTATGTATGTGTGTGTTTATATAAATATTTCATTCCATGCTCATCCATGTAGAGAGAAAAAGCAATCTATACATCAGACAGTAATATGATGATAAACAGCTGGCTGGTGCAACCTTAAAGAACTAAGGTGCTAGAATTGTTGACTAAGATTGTGAAGGAAAACCTTAAAGTAGGAATCTTGATTTGCCTTTTGAGATTAAAGAACAGAAGGCCAGACTAGTAGTAAAAGAGCAAGAACTAACTTTACTGATTTGGGAAACTTGGTCAAAAAGGTAATCTATTTACATCTCAAATATACTTTTTTATATTTACCAATGAATAAGTAGAAATTTAGTGTCAGAGTCCAGAGTGCTAACCATTACACTAATAGAATTAAAAAGGAGAGAACAATCCAATATGGGAAGTGGAATACACAGCAGACTCATAGAATGGCAGATGTCCTAAACAGCACTCTGGCCTCAGAATCAGCACTTAAGGCATTTAGATCTGGCTAAAAAGCCCATGAGAGTATTTCAGGCATGGAAAGCCAAGACACTCTGTCAAAAAAAAAAAATGACCTAAATGAAAGATCTCTGTGAGTGAGATCCCAGCAGAAAAACAGGCCATCAAAGAAGGAGGTACATTTCTCTGAAGGGAGGAGAGAGCTTCCACTTTGACGATGGCCTTGTCTAAATAAGATTGGAGCTGGCAAACTCAAGAGGCTTCCATAGCCTTGGCAGCTCATGACAAGAACCTTGGGTGATTACTGACGTCATAAATAAGAGTGTCAACTGTTAAATCAACAGGAGACACTATGCATTTACTCCCCATGTAAAATCTCTGTCCTTAATGTGTTGTACTATATGAATTAATGGTATAACAGTACTTTATACTTTGTGTGTCTGTGTGGGTGCAAACTGTTGAAATCTTTACTTAGGATATACTAAATTGATCTTCTGTATATAAAGCTAATTGAAAATGAATCTTGATGAAGAATGGGATGGGAGAGGGAGTGGGAGATGGGATGGTTGAGGGTGGGAGGGTGGTTATGGAAGAAAAAGCAACTATAATCCAAAAGTTGTACTTTTGAAATTTATATTTATTAAATAAAAGTTTAAAAAGAAATTTAGTGTCAGAATGAATGTCTCAAGTGTTGTATTCTCCCTGTTCTTAGGACCATCAGAATGGGTTTGTATGACTACATGCAATTTCTAACACTCTTACAATGATTGCAAAGTCTTGAAGGTCTTAGACACCTACTTGGTGTGTATAATTGCATGAAATAAGTACTTTTGAAGAGATAATCATGATTCAAATGCATTTTCTCTACACATACATACCACATCACATTGCACTTGTGTAAGCAAATAAATTATAATCTTGACTATTGTATTGTTTGCAACCATTTAATTCTTTCTGAACTTGGCTCATTGTATTATAATGCTTGAGTGATTCACATGCTATGTTTCCAACCCACTTTTCCTGGTTTGTGAAACTTTTTAACGAAATGTTAGCATTTTCAGGCTCCAGATGTTTTGACATAAGGAGAAATAATATGTAAATTTTAATCCATGCTAGGAACAATAGCCTTGAGGCACCTTTTTCTTATTACCTGAATCATGTGCTTAACCACAATGTGATCTACCTATCAAAATCATCACCACCTAGAATTTTGCATTCTTGTCATAGTTGTCAATTAATGAATCTGATAATTATTTAACATGATGGATTTCCATTAATTAGCCAGTAAATTTTAGTGTATGCTACTATACACCATCACATAGCTATAGCTCTGCAGGTAATAATAATAATAATAATAACAACAATAATAGCAACAACTTTTAAATGAGCTTTAATCTTCTTTTTATTGGTAAAATCACTATTTATATTAAACTTTAGTGTTTTATAGTTGCAAAATCACTGTTTGGAGCTGGCCTTGTGGTATACCAGGTAAAGCAGCTACCAGTGACATCAGCATTCCATATGGGCATCAGTTCAAGTCTTTGCTGCTCCACTTCTGATCCAGCTCCCTGCTAATGCCTCCTAGGAAAGCAGGAGAGGATGGACTGTGTCCCTGGGCCTCTGTACCCACGTGGGAGAACCAGAAGACGACCCTGGCTCCTGGCTTCAAATCAGCCCAGATCTGGCCATTGCAGCCATTTAGGGAGTGAACCAGTGGATGGAAGATCTCTCGATGTTTTTCCCTCTCTCTCTGTAACTCTGCATTTTGAATAAATAATAAATCTTTATTTAAAAAAATCACTTGTTTTAATGAAAAAATTAAAATCTATTATGGATTTCTTTATCTTTTCCATGCTTTTCACATAACTTGGAGTAAGGGATGTGTGGTTGTGGATATAGGTTTCCAAAAGAAGAGATTTGAGGATGGTTTCAATCAGAATAATATGTTCTGTGCATTGCCTTTTCTCATATGCAGAGATCAGAAAACTTTTTATGAACTCCTGCATGGGAATAGGTGTACAACACAGCACACTTGCAATAAACATGCAATAAATAATCAAGTGGGGCTGGCAATGTGGCGTGTCAGGCACTGGTTTGAGTCCTGGCTGCTCCACTTTGATCCAACTCTCTGCTATGGCCTGGGAAAGCAGTAGAAGATGGCCCAAGTCTTTGAGCCCCTGCATCTGCATGGGAGACCCAGAAAAATCTCCTGGCTTCTGGCTTCAGATCTGCACAGCTCTGGCAGTGTGGTCATCTGGGGAGTGGACCAGTGCATGGAAGACCCCTCTCTCTCTCTGCCTCTGCCTCTCAGTAACTTTCTGCCTTTCAAATAAGTAAATATATCTTTTCAAAAAATAATACATGTATATATGAACCATGTAGTTCTTTTAAAAAATCAAGTATAAAATCCATTTAGCCATTCATCTTTTTAGTCAATATCATGCTAAAAAATCATCCTTATTTTTATCTGTATCACACTGGTTATTTTGTCCACATGGAAAGTATCATATTCATTAGTACTTTTTGCACTGATATTTCTTTTTTTTTAAGATTTTATTTATTTATTTGACAGGTAGAGTTACAGACAATGAGAGGGAGAGAAAGAGAGAAAGGGCTTCCTTCCGTTGGTTCACTCCCCAAATGGCCGCCACGGCTGGTTCTGCACTGATCCGAAGCCAGGAGCCAGGTGCTTCTTCCTGGTCTCCCATGCAGGTGCAGGGACCTAAGCACTTGGGCCATCCTCCACTTCCCTCCCGGGCTACAGCAGAGAACTGGACTGGAAGAGGAGCAACCGGACTAGAACCGGTGCCTATATGGGATTCCGGCGCTGCAGGCAGAGGATTAACCTGCTGAGCCACAGCAACTGCCCCAGCATTGATATTTCTTTAAGATGAAATATTCGTGTGATCTTATTCTTGTAAAAAACATGAAACCTATATTTGAACATAGAACACTACCCTTCACTGCAAACTCAGGATGGTTTCTTTTTGCCTTTTTGAAGCCACTATAATAAAACCCATAAACATGGTATCAAATATTAGAAAGTCTTAACACAAGTGAAATGCTTATTAATTTCATCATCAAGGGATAGCTTTAGTCAATATCAGTTAGCAGCTTTAAACCATTTTACATATTAAATACAGTATTCTATTTATCCTAGATCATCTAGGGACCATCCAGTTATTAAAAGGTTTAGCTGAGTTTTTTTTTCTTTAAGAGATTTTATTGGTGCTTGTTAGAAACTTTGTAACATTCTGAAAATATTTTCCAAGAAACAAAACCATAATGCTGTGGAGAAGCAAATGGCAGGGGACCATATAAGAAATGAGACAATTAGTTGCAATAACAAGGAAATACTGGACCCTTGTTTTCAGTATGGACTATCTAGTGAGTAGTGATCAGTTATGAAGTCTTGCAACTGTTAAGTACTCTTTCAGATGATCAGTTCACCTTCTACATTTTGCAATGCAATATATAGACAAAGGAAGAACAAAAGGCATAGTAAAACACTTAATAATTATAATCTTTCATTTAATATATGCAAAGAAAATATTGGCACATTTTAAAAGATCTGTACAAAGATTCATGTGTATTTTCTACTTTTTACTTGTTGAACACTATATTTAGTGGAGTACTAAGCCTGTTATTATAAAGTAAATTGGAATTTTCAGGGTCTCTTTACAGAAATACAGTGTTTATTATAGCAAAGTCAAGTTTTGTAGATACAGTGTAAATGTTTCCATTGTATGGCAATGTTGTACATACTTTAAGATAAATAAAGCATTCTTAATGCAAAATAAAATAAAATAAATTGAAAATATGTTATTGCAAAAATTAAAAGAAAAAAGGAAAAAAGGAGGAGTGAGGAAGTATCCTTTAGTCTTTAGTTCTTTGAATTTATCTTTGAAATACAGGAAACTGTTCTCTTAATGGTAATATAAAAATTTAAAAAATAAAGTACACCAATGAATGTTTTTCATTTTCTAAGAAAATAAAGATACATTACCTTTTATTAAAAATGAAAAATAGCAATAATTACAAATTCTACAGTCTTATTACGGTAATAATGTTTTTTTAATCTAACAAGTGTTAGATTAAAATTACTGGAATGTTACTTCAGCTACTTATATATATATAATGCTATTAAAGTCAAAGGTTTTTAACTGCAATGTTATTCTTAAGATTAAATAGCTAGGCCAGTGCCGCGGCTCAATAGGCTAATCCTCCACCTTGCGGTGCCGGCACACGGGGTTCTAGTCCCAGTCAGGGCACCAGATTCTGTCCCGGTTGCCTCTCTTCCAGGACAGCTCTCTGCTGTGGCCCGGGAGTGCAGTGGAGGATGGCCCAAGTGCTTGGGCCCTGCACTCCATAGGAGACCAGGAGAAGCACCTGGCTCCTGCCATTGGATTAGCGTGGTGCACTGGCCGCAGCACGCCAGCTGTGGCGGCCATTGGAGGGTGAACCAACGGCAAAAGGAAGACCTTTCTCTCTGTCTCTCTCTCTCACTATCCACTCTGCCTGTCAAAAAAAAAAAAAAAAGATTAAATAGCTGAATTAATTTTTGCTTTGTATGCCATAAGCAACTGCTGTACTGATAGATAACATCCTTCAGTTTAGTTTGCTTTTAAACTTCACTAGTTACACCTTAAATGATGTAACAATGATTGTATGTAATTCTTTCACTAACATGTCTCCCTTTTCTTTTGTCTATTTTATTTACTACATGTAACAACCAGCTTTAATTAATACGCAAACAAAACATTTCTGAGGAGAAAATCAGCTAGAAAAGGCAGAATCTTTGAAATTGAAAGGTACATAGTGCTGTGGGAAAATTAACGTTGCAAACAGAGAAGTCAATAATTTTATTTTTAAGCCTATTGGGTCATGTAGATACTAATTTTACAGAAGATCATTTGATTATGTAGAAACACATATAAAAATACCCTTACAAGAAGGTAATAAGTTCCCTTTTACATATAAAGCAGTAGACAGCAGCACTTCATCATCAAATTGATTGAATCATGAGGGAGATTTTTTTTTCAAGGATCAAAATAAGCAGCCTGAGAATCTCAAAAATCAAATTGTCTATGAAACCCACAGAGAAACTTTCCACACATTTTTAAGAAAGCCTCTTTTTTCTCAATTTTTGAATTGTTTAACTGTTTTCAAATTTAAAATAATACAAATAGTAAAATACTAGTGTGTCAATGAATAACTGATTACAGGGGGGTTCTATTGCACATTAGATCAGCAACACTCCATATGTATTTAGCACTTATTGAGTAAATGTCTTGAAATCTCTGTATATGCAACATACATTAACTCAAAATAGCTTTTACTTATCAACATCTGGGACACTGGAGGAGTAAATGGTGTAATTCCAGGTAGCACATTCAGACTATGCCATATGAATACTGAAGCAAGATTCAATCCTTCATGTATTTTCCAGTAACCCAGGATGTTGATCTAATGCTGATGACACAGCAGAATGATTCCAGCTAATAAACTGATTCCAGATTTTGTCCATATCTTAGATATCAAAGCTGGTAAATATCAGCCAAGAGACGTTTTGAAGACCTCCAGAATACTTGGTTCCACCATAAATTTATTTAAATATTTATATTCCACATTATCAGAACAGAACATGATACCCTGAAGTATTAAAAAATTCCAATATGACTCAGACCAACAAAACAAAATAAAAATATGTATTTTTTTAAGTTGTGAGGTCTAACTCCTCCCCTAACACTATTGAAAATGAGCACACAAAATCAAGAAATTGTTTCTACTTTTTTTAAATGAAAGAGTTATTAAATATTGTATTTACAGTCATATGAGCATCAGAAAATAAGCTGAAGTTTCAATAAGGAGAAGGAAGAAGTGGGTGGTGAAAATTTGAAAGTGTATTACTTTATAAGTTAACAAATTTCTTAGTGAATAATGTAACACTGGTATACTTTTATCTCATAGCTATTAGAATTTGGACAGTGATACTCCGACAAGTAGGTTTCCCTCCATATCATTATAGATGACATTAGCTGCATACTTATCTCTTGATAGAAACATAGCTACATAGCTGTATAAAGTAACAGATCTGACACAGGAATTTTTCATATTGGATCCCACAAGACATTTTGGATGTCCCTAAAACTCTTGATACATGCAAATTATTTTCCTTAGATAGAGTTCCAACTTTTTTCTAGAAAGGTCTATACATTTCATTAAAGTTTCAAGGGAACCATGCCTTATAAAGTTAAGAACCACTGTCTGATTTTCAATATATTTTAATTTATTAGGACACAGTCCTAGTTTTTATTCTACTTTTTCATATCCATTACACATTTTACAATTTCCTGCCATCTCATGATCTGAATGCAACAGCAAGTATTAGTCCTCACTCATCACATCTTGTGTGTCCAGGATCTACCATCACCTACCAAGTCTTTACGTCAACTATGAGGAATAGGTTTCAGGTCCAAGTAGTAACATTAACAAAATGGAAAATGATGACAGAGCAGTGATGTCATTAGTACAAGTTTTCTCAAAATAGGAGGAATGAGAATAGTAAATAAAAGGAGAATGGAAATTGGCTGGCAATGTGGTTCAGCGTTTTGTCTGAAATGTTGGCATCTCATATGAGAGCCGGTTCAAGTCCTGGCTGCTCCACTTCAGATCCAGCTCCCTGTTAATGTGCCTGGTAAAAGCAGTAAAGGATGGCCCAAGTGCTTGGGCCCCTACCACTGATGTAGGAAACCTAGATAAAGCTCCTGTCTTCTGGCTTCGGCCTGGCCCAGCCCTGGCTGTTGCAGCCATTTGGGGAGTGAAGCAGTGGATGGAAGATTCTCTTTCTCTCTCAATTTCTCTGTCTCTCCCTCTCTCTATGTAATTCTGCATTTCAAATAAGTAACATAAATCTTTACACTGGCCACAGCACGCTGGCTGCAGTGGCCATTGTGGGGTGAACCAACGGAAAAGGGAAGACCTTTCTCTCTCTCTCTCTCACTGTCCACTCTGCCTGTCAAAAAAAAAAAAAAAAAAAAAAAAAAAAAGGAAGTAAAAGAAAGAAATCAGCCTCTTCCCTGAATGGTGTTTTTTCTGTTACCCTAAAACATAATCTTTCTTAAATAAGATCCTTTCCAATATTAAATGAAATTGTCAACTCAGATAATAAAGTGAAATTTTATATAAAGTTAAAGGTATATAACCTCTTGAAAATTTTTGACAAAGTATATTGAGCTGTTCTCTTTCACATGGAGTATGTTATATGAACTCATCTATATGGCTTTAATAATCATTATTAGAAATTAGTAATTATTTTTCCATGTCAAACAATGAAAATTATTTTTGATTTTCCAAAATCTGAGCTAATTGTGTAAGCAAAACCTGGAATAATCATTACAGCATCAGTATTTAATGTTTCCCTATATTAGATTTTATGATGTATTTTCCATGTAAGAAATACCTGAAAGATCTTTCAAAGATTTATTCTTAAGTTTAATGTCCATGCAAGATTACTTATCTAAGTTAGTGATATGTATTCTAATCTCTAGCCTTCTCCCTCCCAGTAAAAATTTTCTTTATACTCAGTCATTTCACTCTACTTTTTAAAGACCCTCCCACCCCGATCTGTTGCCACTATTATTTTCTAGAACTTCCCAACAGTCATATTCCAGGCTGCTCAGCTATTTCTAATGAGTGTTCAATCAGAATACCCTCAACTTATTCTTGTATCATTTAGTTGACATTCCCTTATATGGACACACTTTCACCCAACTTATGCCCTTAAAAGAGAGGTGAAGTTCTATTATTCCCACAGATCTTGTCACTAATTTTCTTTGTTGGATCTGTGTTTGCAGACTTTAATTCTACATTTCTTCTCTCCATTTTTGATGCTTATTCTGTAATCTTATTGGCTTTGTGAGGAGTAAGACTGTATCTTTCTCATCTGTTCTACATTTTCACAGGAATGACTACAATTCTGTGTATCCTCCTTAAATTCTTGTTGTCTGGATGAAACTCATGGAGATTCTGCAGGGAGCAACATGCTTTCAGTAACTCAATTACCAAAACTAAAACAAGATCTAGAGATAAAACTGGGTGAGGCATCATAATATAAATATTTACAATAAAAGCTGACAATGCAACCAAACATTACAGGAAATTCTAGGTACCTATGGGAATACAACTTCATTGAGAACTGAAAAAGAAATAGCTTTGTTTTACTAATCATTTTGGCAGTTGACATTCCAATTATCAATATTTTGTCAATTTGGAGCAAAACTGTATCAACAGCTAATTAACTTATGTCCAGAATTGAACATGATGATAAGTTATAAACATCTGACATATTGTCCCCGTAGAGGGAACTTTTATATTTTGTTTACTGAAATTGATTATCCAACATCTCTTTGGTGCTATTTGAATAATCAGAAGAATAAAAACGGAAGAAAGAACACATGCTACCTACATCGTATACGTGTGTGTGTATCTTTCTGTGAAGGGATAAATTCTAGTCCATATTCTTGAGGAAAATATTCAAAATGTTCCCCTTTCTCCACAGAGCATGGAGACTGTAATTGAACTGAATAAGGAAATTAGGATCTGGCTTTAGTAACTGATGTTTTTAATCATTTTCTGTATTTTATTGTGGACATTTTTCATGTTTATTTTAGACTAACTTTTCACTTACAAATCACAGATAATCTGTTTTATAAGTATTTTCCCCAAAAGGCTTGAACTTTAGATTATATGTACATTGAACAATAGAAAGAAGCTGTGACCGCTATAATTGTTGATCTTGATTCATTAAAACTAACATTGTAAGAGTTGAATAGGAAAAGATGGAAGTGAAATATTAAGCAAATGATTGCATTAATATTTTCAGTCTGTTAGTTTCAATAGTGTATCACCAAGTTGCTGCCCGTAAAACACCAGTAGAGAGTGTGCAGTACCTCTTGATAAGCACACCATGACTTTTCCTCCTGTGAATTCTTCTGTTGCCTCTCATCAGTCCAGTTTTCATGAACAACGTATTCCTTTCAGAAAAATGAAGGCAATCCAACAAACACAGAATGAAATTGCATAGCACCAGCATAGGTTTCCTCCCAGTTGATGAATTGGTCCTGTTTATTTCTTATAATTCATCACCATCATCTGAGCTAAAGCTACTTCTTCTACTGCTCTCTTTGGAAATTGCAGGAGAAGTGACAGATAGCAGAGGATCTGCTCCAAATGGAGATAATTTGCCATCCAGTAGCATATCATCTAATCTTTGTTCCTCTTTCAAAGCAGCACTAAATGATAAGTCTGTGAAGTGTGACAAAGGATCCGAGAAGGCCATAGCTTGATCAGAAAGCTCAGGACTTGGCTCTTGAGATAGAGTCAGTTGTTGGCAATAGTCTGCTGAATGCTGCTCAAGATGAGTCTGCTGTTTGATGACCGGAGCACCCAAGTCAACCACACCGAGTGAAGCCAGGGTTGGCAGACCGTGAGCACGCGCCTGGATTTCTAGTTCCTGCAATGTCAAACAACAATTGTTAAATAATGCCTTTGAGAATGGACTAAATTTTAGAGAATAAACCAGAAATGGAACCAAAATATTAAGCATTCAATTGAAGAGTAATACAGATTTTAAATGTTCTTTGTGAATGATGGAATCTACTGCATTTCTAGTGCCTGAAAAAAATCCCTGAAAAAATTACTCAGAGTTTTTTTTTCATTCTCTTCTCATTGTTCTGTAAAGGAATTCAGTAATTCATATGATGACCCCACAGTGACTGACACGACAATACAGTCATTTGGAGATAGTGGAACATCTTCCATTCATTCTCCCTGATTAATTTCTCACCATGATTCAGGTCCATTTCATTGAAATAGAATAAGTATTATACCTAACTTATAAACATGCTCACATAAAAAACTGAGTTACAGAAGCCCATATTTTTGGTGTTTGTGTCACATGAATAGTTGAAGAGAGACAATATAAACTGATATAGTATGACTGTAGACAATGAAATCCATAACAGTGTTATTAATAAAGTTACTAAATAAGAGGCAGGGGAAGGAATTTAGCATTTGATATTACTTAGAGTACCAAATGTTCCATTTAGTATTATTTTTCCCTGGGATAATATCGTTTGTGCTTGTGAAATGAGTTTTATTTCCTGAAATTGTTGATTAGTTCTTATGCATTGTGTGTGTGTATTTTTGTAAAGGCATCTTGATCCTGTATTTCTAATCGAAACCTAATTGAAACTACCTAATTCATGAACTTCTAAAAGGCAATGAAATTATCCTGCAGGAGGAAAAATAATTGTTAACAAAAAAAATGAATGAGACCAATGAATAAAACCGATGACACGTAAGTCATGTGTAAGCTGCATGGTTCATGGCAACGCTATTATGAAAACCTGAATCCGGAGTAGAAGTCGCCGGTTTGCCTGTTCTAACTTCTTCTGTCTGCGCTCTAACTCTCGGGCTCTCTGCTGTTCTTTTTGTAGCCACTTGATGTACTCCACTGATGCTTTCAGAATGGTGCCTTTGTTCCAGCGCATATCACTGCAGAATGGAGAGATAACCTTTTCACAATTGTGCATGTCAGCAGAATTCCTAAGAACTTACAAAATCTTTTACATTAATATGAAATAATGATTTACATGACTATTATTCACTCTTAGATATTATTGCTTCTGAATAGAAATTTTAATAGAATAGTTAAGAAGCCCTTATATAGTAAAATTAATCCCAGAATGAAAATAAGTGTCAAAAGAAAGTAATAAAGTGACTTTTTGTGGGAGAGCTAAATGCAATATCATGATTCTACCATTACAGTTTTTATATTTTTAGTGAAAATTGCTTTTATTATTAACTTCAAGATTAAAATCTATGTGCAGTATTTCTGCATTAATGAACTAGGAAATGTACATTACTGAGGACTTAAGACTAAATTTTTTAAGATCATTTCAAATGTATCAATCTTTTAACCTACTTTCTAATAAGGTTGCTTTTATGTTTCTAAGGAAAAAAAATAAAGTCTTTCCTGGATGGTGATCCTGAATGATTGTGAAACAAATCACCGTTTGACAACATAACTTTAAGCAATAGAGCAAACTTTATAAAACCATCCACCTATTTTTTTTTCCTGCACAGACATTTTTAATACTTTTTTTAAAAGCTGGATATAGGTATTTATTTTTAAATAAGTTCAAGATAAGATACAAGTAAATATTACTGGATAGCCTTTTAGGCTATAGCATAGAAAAATGATTTTAGTGCAACGTTTTCAAGACAGGAGAAATTATAAATATGGAATTCTGGCACAGGTTTCTCGTTTTAATAGCTAAAAACATACATTGAGCAATGGAATATTCTGTTAGAATTAAAATATGTATGAGAATGAGGCCAAATCAGTTGTGAAACATTAATCAGAATTGTTGGAAAACCCTGATGTCTTTTAAATTTAGGATCATGAGATGTTTTCAATACCACATAAAGGAAGCTGGTTTTTGTGTGAAGTATATCGCGTACACTTTTGCCTTATATGATCTATTTGAAATACATTGAACTTTGTGTGTATTTCTTAAGGGTCAAAAATGGGCAAATATGTCTTATGAGCTAGCTAATTTGAATGTATCTCACTGAAAGTTTGCCTTAGGTGATAATGCCATTGGCAGTAATAATTTTCTTTAAAAATCCATTTTTCGGGGCCAGCACTGTGGCACAGCAGGTTAATGCCCTGGCCTGAAGTGCCGGCATCCCATATAGGCGCCAGTTCGAGATCCGGCTGCTCCTCTTCTGATCCAGCTCTCTGCTATGGCCTGGGAAAGCAGCAGAAGATGGCCCTACTCCTTGGGCCCCTACACCCGCATGGGAGACCCCGAAGAAACTCCTGGCTACTGGCTTCAAATCGGCACAGCTCCAGCCATTGTGACCATCTGGGGGTTGAACCATCAAATGGAAGACTTCTCTCTCTCTCTCTGGGCCTCTTCTCTCTCTGTGTAACTCTGACTTTCAAATAAATAAATAAATCTTTAAAATATCCATTTTTCTACCAGTAGATGAAAATGCATGGTAGAGTATAATAATTCTTGCACTGAAATGCACCAAACCACTGTCAGCATCTATCTTAAGCTTGAAAATCCTTTATCAAGGCTAACGGCCTAGTGGTTAAGTTGCTGATTGTGATAACTGTGTCCTATATCACAGTGCCTGGGCTTGAGTCCTGGTTCTGGCTCCCATCTCCAGCTTCCTGCTAACGGAGATCATGGGAGGCAGCAGTGATGACTGGAGGAGTTAGAATCCTGCCACTCACACAGAGAACTTGGGCTGAGTTCCTGTCTCCTGCTGTTGTATTGCAAGCATTTAGAGAGTGAAGCAGCAGATGGCAGCATGCTCGTTGTCTCTGTCTCTCACTCTCTGTCTCTCCTCTTCTCAAATAAAATTTCAAAAAAGGAGAGGATTAAAAGAAAATCTTCTACTAGTTTTCTAGGGCCATAACGCTCTTGGCATCATTTATCTGATGATTTATCTGGTGTTGGAAAGGGTTTGAAAAAACATTAATTTGGTCCTCAAACCAAGGAAGTATTTCTAACAGAAATGCCATTATTTCCTAAACTCCAAGTGGTAGCAAGAGTCTTATGGACTTTTAATTTGGTTTCATTCCTTCTCATGGGAAGAAAAATTTGCAGTATAAGTAAGAAGATAAAAAGGAAAATACCAGATAACTTGGAAGTTTAAAGTACTGCATATGTATATCTAAAATAAACCTTCACAATGTTGATAAAAAATGTACAATGAGTCTTCCTTCAATTTGTACCTGAAATTATTTATGCTACATTTTTTAAGTTCACTGTTTTTGTTATTTTAAAGACAAAAATTGTTAAAATATTTCTTTTTTAAATATTTTATTTATTTATTTGAGTGTCAGAGTTACAGACTAAGAGGGAGAGAAAGAGAGAGAGAAAGGTCTTCCATCAGCTGATTCACTCTCCAGTTGGCCACAATGGACAGAGCTAAGCTGATCCAAAGCCAGGAGCCGGCAACCTAACCTGGGTCTCCCACATGGTTGCAGGGGCCCAAGTGCTTGGGTCATCTTCCATTGCTTTCCCAGGCCATAGCAGAGAGATGCATTGGAAATGGAGCAACTGGGACTAGCACTGGTGCCCATATGGGATGCAGGCACCGCAGGCAGAGGATTAACCTACTGCGCCACAGCACCTGCCCCATTAAAATATTTCAAGATTTCCTTATTTATTAAAGGAATTTGGCCTCTCTCCCAAGATAATTTTAAATACCTAAGCACTAAAAATACTGTATTTTATGGTACCCTATAAACATTCAACATCAATAAAGGCAAGGATAAAAAATGAATGTTGATACTGGCTTTTTATTTTCTGCAAAATAATTTTCTTGTAGAGCTTAAAACATTTGGGGAAATTAAAAGTTGGAATGAATATGGGACCAAAGCAGGTAATACAAATGTGTAAATTGAGAAAAGAGTGCTGCCAGGCAAAACTGGGGATTTGATGCAATCTGGTGTCAGGAGTGAACACCGACTGAAATTCTGCAAAATTTTTCAATAAGAAAAAAGAAAATCAGAAAACACCATGACATGTCTAAATTTTGTAGCTTGGCTCAAAATGTCGTAACTCAAAATGTTGTAATGATTTAGGAAGTTTTGTTAGGTCTCATTTACTACCTCAATTACCATTCTTACTCAAAAGCAGAGGAAGTTCTCACTGAAGAAGGGAATAAAGAAAGATCAATTTAGTAAAGATAAAAATCGGTGTGGATATATAAAAAATTCATGGAATTAAAAGATAAATTTATTTTGGTGCAATTTTTGAAATCTGTGCATGCATTTTTCATAATAAACATCTGCCATGAACTTTTTGAAGACCTCTTAAATGTATAAATTTAAAAAGTGGAAAAGTAAGAGTAATTTAATAGTACCAATAGAATGATTCATGCTGTGATTTTTTTTATTTCTACCAATGTGATTTTTGTAAATTCAGATCACAAAATCACATATGGAGAAGAAGGCTTCCAAACACACTAAAGAGCTGTGACACAAACATAGAAACTCTTCACTTACGATGTTTACTGGTTAGCTCTGTTTATTATTATTATTATTATTATTATTACGAATCAATGGTCAAAGGAATGCCACTCCTAATTGTTTTCTTCAAGTAATTTTTCAAGCTATCACTCTCACCTACAGCTATTCCCTGTATCATTTTTCCACTAACTCCATTCACCATTTTGGACTACAAAATAATATGAAATTCTGAATGGATTTTTGATACACAAAAATGGAAACTTTATAGAGTCCAATGTCTTCAGGTATTAGCTTTGATTTCCTAAGTCAGTCCCAAATTTCACTTCGAACAGGAGCTGGGGAAGTCCTAGGAGACTGATCATTCCTTACTTCCTGCTATTTATTTGCCAAGATGCATGTGGTGTTGAGGAGACAAGTCCCTGATCTCCTCATCCAATCCAGTGCTTTTGTGAAAATCTGTAGCTTCTGTGCCTTTTCAAATGCATCTGCCCAAAGAAATATGTTTTGTGTTGTGACACAGTGCACTCAGCCCATAAAATGCCAACAAAGATTTCCTCCATGCTTCCACAAGACTCTCATACTGTGGGTGCTAGTCTTCCTTCTTTGTTTTAAAATGTTGCATATGTCCCATTTGATTGATTTCATAATCCATTAATAGTTATGGCACAGGGCCAGCTCTGCAGAGTGGTGGGCTGAAACTGCGCTTATGGTGCCAGCATCCCACATAGGCGCTTGTTCCGGTCCAGGCTGCTCTTCTTCCAATTCAGCTCTCTGCCTGTGGCGTAGGAAAGCAGTGGAAGATGGCCCAAGTTCTCAGGGCCCCTACACTCACGTGAGAGATCTGGAGGAAGCTCCTGGCTCCTGGCTTTGGATTAGACCAGCTCTAGACATTGCGGCCATTTGGGGAGTGAACAAGCAGTTGAAAGACCTTTCTCTGTCTCTGTCTCTGTCTCTGTCTTTGTCTCTCTCTCTCTCTCTCTCTCTCTCTCTTTGCAGCTCTACTTCTCAAATAAATAATTAAATAGCTATGGTACATAATTTGAAGAATCCCATATTAGCTAATGTGTGTTTTTGTGTTTTTTAATTTTATATTAAATTTAATAATTTTTAACATTTTGCCATATTCACTTCATATATAGATATTATACATACATAATATTTTTCTTGAAAAAATTGATATTAATATCACAAACTGAGGGAATCATGAAAATGATCAAAACATAGAAAAATAAGGGTAATATTGTCATGTACATGGTATCATTCAGTGAGAACAATATTTATAACTGTATACCAAATGATATGACATGCACACAGTTTTATACTCTATATTAACTTCCACAAATAAGATAAAGCATGATATTTGTCTTTCTGACAAACCTATTCTAAATCATTTGAATATTTGTAGGGACCTACTAAAAATTAGAGATTTGTTCATCTTTTTGTTTGTTTTCAGATCTATGTTTTGTTAATTGCAGCATTGCTATAGCATGGCCATGCCATTTTTGTACTCATTCTCTCATCTTCAACATGGAATATGACTCTTCTCTGTTGTCCTCACACTCTTTCCTTGGTATCCTGCAGCTTTCCAGTTATCTATAGTAATATCTGAAATTTGGCAAATGAATCAAAATAAATCATAGATTAATTAATACTTCAGGATCCAGACTACTTCACAGGTGAAGTCCATGTTAAGCAGCTATACCATGGATATAGTCAAGGGACTCTCACTGCTAAACCCTGAAGAGGGACACTAGAGAAAGAGATGTGACCCCAGCAAGCCAAGGGGTAAACCATGAGATATTAGTGTTGAGATATTTGGAACATGACACTTAAGTCACATGTCTTTTCTGCCTGTGCTGTGCAAACAAATCCACAGATAGATATATGCGATATATGACTAATTACTCTCTGTTTAATTAGATCTCAGCTAAACATTATTTGCCTACATAGAGCATACTAGGAATAAATCAAATAATAATTCTCCTTTCTAAGATTCACAAGGAAAACAGTCACTTAATGCTTACAATGACCGTTTTTCACAATCTCTTTCAGATATGATCCTGCCATAAGTTGATTTTCTATATTCTAGATGAGGAGTAGGGAACCTTCAGCCCATTGCCTGTTTTTGAAATAAAGTTTCATTGGGTGCAATCATGCTTATTCATTTACACATTGTCCACATCTGTTTTCCTACCACAATGGTAGAGCTAAATAACTTATGGAAAAGACAGTAAGGCCAAGAAAGATTGAAATATTGACAATCTGGCCTTTGCAGAAACAGTTTATCACACCCACATCTGAATTAAACCAGAAAGGAGTCTTTAAATTAACCAAAGCTTCTGTAAAAATAGAGGGGGACATCCACAATATAATCTTTATCATTTGCAAAGTATTCTCATGATGCTTATTTGACTTCATTTTTATGAAAGCCTAAGCACATAAGGAGGAGGCTTTCCTCTTCAGCTAGCACAACCAAATACTGAAGGCCTTCAAAGATTCGGAGAGTAACTAATAAGCATAGGCTGGGATTGCACTCCTTTGGTTCTCCACTATGCCTCTTTCTGCTCTTCTAGCCTAGGTACCTTCACTAGTTGGATACTGCATTCCTTTCTACCATAAATATTTTAACTGTCAAGTGAATTAGAAAACTCAGATTAGGGAAAGGGTGTTTTTCAACTCTCATACACATCTTTGTTTCTGAATTATGGATAATTGCCAGGATTTGGAGAGAGCAGCTCTTAGTTTAGTGAAATATTTTCAAATCAGTATTCATGCTACAGATCATGCTTTTATGTTTTTGTACAACAAACATCCAATATTCTAAATTGAATCTTAGATTAATTAACTATTTTTGAGACTTACAACCTCAAACAATGTGTGTGATTCTGTGTGTACATTACACACAAAAAACTGATTAGCATCAATCGACAGGTCTTTACAGTTCCATTTTTTACTTGTGTGTAAAAAACTTGCATAGAATTTTGGGACCTCTGAAATTCTATTTTCAAATACACACAAATATTCAACTGGAAGAATTGCTATAACTATAAATCGAGTGCATCCATCAGTACCATAAAAAGCCTTTGTCACTATCACTAAATCTGACAATGTTATTTCATTCTGAAAGGCCACTGTGAACTTAAGTCAAATAATTCATGTTTTTCCTATAGCTCAAATGGACAACTCTCAATAACAGCCTGAATGTTAAATAATAATTAGCCTGGAATAGGTATTTTAAAACAACACCAGCAATAGCTTTACCTTTGCCATGGCTTCTCAGTTTCCCGGTCATTGGTTCTCTTCTCTGTCTTCCCTCCCACCCATTTTTGGGGATATTGAAACCATAACATTATTATAGAAATGGTTGTTGAACTCACGGATCATTAGACTTTGGAATAAGAGTGCCAAGCTCCTTGATTCGGTAATTAATATTATACCTTCTTCTTCTTTCAACTAGTAAAGAAGAGATATTATTGATTAATCTCATTAAAATACAGTTCACTTTTGGTCAGCTGTACACTTTCTTATTAACCTTTTGAAAACAGTGGGTGAGAAAAATTTCCATTTAGACAAAAGATGGTGCTTCCTAACCATAAATAAAAATTCAGAAGTATTTTTTCTAAAAGTAAAAATTATATTAGAATTGTAAATATGATTTATAATATTTTGTAAACATTTTATCAAAACATTTTTCATTCAGTGAAATGCTATAATTTTGTTCATGCTGAAATATGTATGTATATATATTGTGTGTGTTTTGTGTGTATTTGTTTATGCTGTTTGACTTTCACACATGTACAGTTTATTAGTCCATCAGGGTTGTAATCCTTTGAGGTCATGCACTATCTTTCACTTTTCTTATATATTCTCCTCAAAGCCTAACACATTGTTTAGCACATAGTACATGGACATAGTACATAGCACAAAGACTCTGAGCTCCTTGAGGACATGGACAAATCTTACTCATTTATATATCACCAGAGAGCTTGTCATACTGTAGGCACTAAATAAAATACATTAATTAGATTAAAAATATATTTTTGTAATTTGACATTTTCAATAATACAGAGATTAGTTGTTTTCAAACTTAGGCATGTGTCAAATACACCTGGAATGATTGTTAAAATAGATTCATATACTCAGCAGACTCATAGAATGGCAGATGTCCTAAACAGCACTCTGGCCTCAGAATCAGCCCTAAAGGCATTCGGATCTGGCTGAAAAGCCAATGAGAGTATTTCAGGCATGGAAAGCCAAGACACTCTGGCAAAAGATCTCTGTGAGTGAGATCCCAGTGAAATGAACAGGTCATCAAAGAAGGAGGTACCTTTCTCTGAAGGGAGGAGAGAACCTCCACTTTGACTATGACCTTGTCTAAACAAGATAAGAGTCGAAGAACTCAGAGGGCTTCCATAGCCTTGGAAACTCATGACTGGTGCATAGGGAGATTACTGATGCCATAGACAGGAGTGTCAATTGGTAAAGTCAACAACAGGAGTCACTGTGCACTTACTCCTCATGTAGGATCTCTGTCCTTAATGTGCTGTGCATTGAGATTTAATGCTATAACGAGTACTCAAACAATATATTTCACTTTGTGTTTCTATGGGGGTGCAAACTGTTGAAATCTTTACTTAATGCATACTAAACTGATCTTTTGTAAAAAAAAAAAAGAAATTATCAATTCTCAACTTGACTCTCACTGGGATTAAATATGACAATAGGTCTGATCTGATTTCATCATCATTTAGAAAAAAAATCATCTATTATTTTTCACTTTATGTTTCTGTGTGGGAGCAAACTGTTGAAATCCTTACATAATATATACTAAGCTTATCTTCTGTATATTAAGATAATTGAAAATGAATCTTGATGTGAATGGAAGGGGAGAGGGAGTGGGAAAGGGGAGGGTTGTGGGTGGGAGGGACGGTATGGGGGGGGAAGCCATTGTAATCCATAAGTCGTACTTTGGAAATTTATATTCATTAAATAAAAGTTAAAAAAAATTTGAAAAAAAATAGATTCATACTCCAGACCTAGACATTCAAATATTAGTAGATATGTGGTGGGATCTAAGAATTTTCATTTCTGACAGGTTCTAAGGTGATGCTGATACTGTATGTGTAGAGTTTACTCTTTGAGAATTAGTATTATAAGTTCTTATCAGAGATAATTTTCTGTTTCCACTTGTATGCATTCCTCACTTATAGCAATTTTGTGCATGTAAGAAATGTTCAATAAATGTTGAATTTCCTGTTTGGTTCTTCTCTAAGTTCAGTTGTTTATTCTCTATTCCTAATCAAGAACCACAACATATACTTGTATACAATATTTTTAATAGATAATACATTTAAATATTTCAAGGGAAATGAAGGGGAAAAAAAAACCATGAAGAAAAAATTGGGAAATACTTAAAGAGTGCATAGCTGAGAATTAAGATCTGCTACTGAAAATAAGGAACATTATCAAAGAATATTATTGGCCTCTACAAAGCAAGTTTTTACAAATGGATTAGACCTTCTGGAATAGTACTTTGGGATGCTCTCTAAAATTGGAATACTACTGATTCTTGAAAGAGTTTGCTTTTCCTCTTCAACAATGCTATTTTCCCTATTCACATGATTTAAAAACATCTAAACCACATCACACAAATCACTGAAAAGAAAGGAAACAAAGGCAAAGCTGACAGAAATATATGTTTTACAGTGAGAATTTATTAATGATTATGTATTCACAAAAATTAGCTCCTATATAATATATCAGACTTAAATATTACATGATGGGTTCTGACATTGTGGCTTAGCAGGTAAAGCCATCACCTATGACACCGCATCCTATTTGGGCACTGGTTCGGGTCCAGACTGCTCCACTTCCAACCCAGCTCCTTGCTAATGACCTAAGAAAATCAATGGAAGGTGGCCCAAGTGCTTGGGCCCCTGCCACCCATGTGAGAGACCTGAAAGAAGCTACTGGCTCCTGATTTTAGTTGGTTTAGTTCAGCCGTGGCTGTTGTGGCCATTTGGGGAATGAAACTATGGACTGAAGATCTCTGTGTTGCTTCCTCTCTCTCTGTAACTCTTTAAAATAAATAAATAAATCTTAAGATAAATAAATATCAAGTGATGAACAGCCGTAAAGAGTGTTCACCATTTTTACATCAAAAGAGGACCATTTTAGTCCTATAATACTTCCTCACAGTTTATTATTTAATGCACTTTATAGAGAATGTTATTTTACTTAACATAGTGTCTTTCACTATTATACATGTTGCTGCAAATAATAGGATCTCATTCTTTTTTTTATGGCTAAATAATACATTGTGTGCTACCTTTCCTGTATCCATTCATCTGTTGATGGGCATCTAGTTTGATTCCATATCTTACCAATTACTGTATGAGGATTCTTAAATTCATATCTGGACTTCTAATCTTTAGGAAGAATGGAATATACTTAACCAGCCCTTTATATCTTGATTTAAAATTTTTACATATTTAGATATCTGGTAAGTGGGTCTTCTTCCTTTTTTTGACATGATCCTTATAAGTTTTAAGGCATGTCGTGGAGTTAATATTTAATATTTACTATATTAATTCTCTGAGTGTTGATTTTTCTTATAAGATGATTTGGCAAATGAATCTAGATTAAAAACATTTGGACATAACAGGACACTTAAACTCTACATTGAATGACATGCTGTTTAAGATGCAGCCATTAAGAGGGGGTAGTTGCAAGGACCGTGACTGTTAACAAGTTTATAAGAGAGGAGATCATAACTCCTTGATATACAAATTCCTTCTGTTAACTATCAGCTCTTCCCACTCATATTCTACTTCTCTCAGATTGTGGATCCAAGTTACTCTCTCTGACATTTAGGACTGTGGGAATCGCATCATTTGCCTAAGGACAGTTACAACCACAGGTGACTTATTCTCTCATCACTCTCTGAATGCATGCAGGTGTACTAGGGACAAAGATAGCTTTCACAGGAACTTGTACAATCAGTATCAGTTCATTGTGTGTAGGAAAAATACTGATTAGTTTATAGTTTCGAAACTTCCTTAAAATTCGATTTTATTCTCTCTTGTTTTTTATTTTCCTCCCAGAAAAAAAAAAGTCTCACCTACTCACTTAAGCTTATTTGAGATAGTTTAGTGCTTTAGTCACAACCAAACTCTAAAACTCAGCCCTGCTGCTAATCTACTTCTCTTGTCTGCATTTCTCCATCTCATGTGACCCATTATCAGAGGCACACTGCCCCTTTGGAAGGCATGAGGGCCCTTTTCTTTGCAGAGCTGGAATTCAGCAGTATGGCATGAGCAATGAGTTTCAGATAACATATCCTTCGGAAGGGAAATGCAGGTAGACACAGAGAAGTAAGACCCTGGGATTGTTTTCTTATACTTAAATAGCATGTGCTATCTCTTTAAACCTTCAAGTCAATGATTCGCCACACAGACCAACTGGAACCTAATGTATTCTCCTCGGTCTTATTCAGACGCCCTGAAAGTGAATGATTAGGGGAGAATTTGAAGCATTGCCCTTTGTGAAAATACATAGCTTTTCTGAGAGTTTACATTGTCTACATTTCCCAAAATAGCTTAAGTTGTGAGCACTCACAATTGGTCATTTGACCTCAAAATATTTGTGGCTGGATAATAAAAGACCAAACACTTAAAACTCTATGCATTTCCTTCTACACTGATCAATTTTGTTTGAAAAAGAGCAAAATATACTCACTGAGGTTGTGATTATCCTTTTTTTGTCTCTCTTTTGCCAATGTTTTAGTGTCAGTTTCTGATCAAAAGAAAAATAATTGAAACAGTGTTTAGTCTTACCTTAAAACCCCTCCAGGCAACATGATTCAGAAATACTAGATGAAAATGCAGTATTACTTACTCCAAAATTATGCAATAATCAAAATATTTGGGAAATTGGAACAGAGTACTCTTTAGTAAAAAGCAATGGCAGGAAGTCTCTGGTCTCCTTTAACAGCCATGTGATCTAATTATCACATTTCTCTGCATTAGGCTCCCATCCATAAAATGAATATAATATCGTACCCACCTGGTAATCATTGGGACAATTAAAAGAGGTACAATGCAAAGAAAATATTAAGCTGTTTAGATTTGTCAGATTTTGAAAGACATTATTCCAATCTAAATTCTTCAATATTTATGATTTCTTTATAGCAAAAGTTGGAATTCACTTCATTTCTCAGATATTCATATTAATCTACTCCATACTTTTTTGAATAAATGGTACTTTCCTCTATGCGTTCTAGGGCTGCATTTGTGGTCATTATCCTCCAACGTAGCCTACAATGATTCTTATATGGTATTCATACCCTTAGTACTTCTCTCCTGTATTGAATAGTGCTGATGTGTGAAACCAATAGAGTGTTGTAGAAATAATCAGCGTGGCTTTCAAGGCTAGATAAGAGAAGACATGATCAGGTTCTACCTCAGTGTCTCTTGGATCACCAGTTGCCATGTCATGAAGCCACTTAAGCAACCCTAGAGAGAGGTCCACAATGTGAAGAATAAGGACTATTTGCCAACCAGAAGCACTAACTTGTACAACCTGCAAGGTAACTACTCTGGGAGTGCATTCCCCAGCCTCAGTCAAAGAGTGGATGTCCCAACTACAACCTCGTAAGAGATTGTAAATCAGCACCAGTTTGCTCAGACATTTCTGGATTCCTGACCCTCAGAGATTGGATGAGACAATAAATGTTTGTTGTTCTCAAGCTGCTAAGTTTGAGGGATAATTTGTTGTTACATAGCAACAGATAATTGACACAGTGCTCTTCTGTTATAGCTTTAAAAGCAAACAATGACATATAATTGTTTATGTTGATTTAAAATATTGATTTTAGCTTGAATAATTTGAAAGCAAATACATTTTTGAGTTTTTTAAATTAATATATAAGAATAGCCATACTGTATTTATTCTAAATGTTACTATTAACTGTGTAAAATTATTAAAGATAGTTTTTAAGCTCCACATTGAAAATTTGATAGAGAAATTTCAAGTAATTATAAATTATTTGTGTAAAGGAACTAACACTGGACTTGTAAATCAGAAAATCCTTACGTTGATCCATTTCCGTGTTTCATCAGCTATGTAACCTTGGGAAAATAATTCCTCTAACCTTTGATCTTTTCACCCCCATGTCCTTATAATTACTTTATGACAATTTTGAAATGAACTATGAAATGTGAGGATTCTTTCTCAATTAAGAAAGCTGAATGTGTTTTGTGAACCTATAAAACAAACTAATATGGGAAATATGACTTTTTATATAAAATTACTCATATAAAGAATAGGTTGGTTTCCAAAATTTATTATATTATTTTGCAACTATGTTAACCATATCAGAGTGCTTGGGTTCAATTCACACCTACAGCTCCTGAATCCAACTTCACACCAATGGGAAACGTTGGATGCAGTGATAATGAATCAAGTAGTTGGTTCATGGCTCAGCTCAAGTCATTGTGGGCATTTGGGCAATGGACTAGCAGATGGAAGCTCTTTCTTTCTCTATCTCTCAATTAAAAAAATCAATGACAAATTACTCTTTTAATGTATCCCTTTTAAACTATTTTGATAGTATTTTTTAAATTTTCACTTAGCATGATAATGTATGACATTCATATATTGACTTTAGTTAATAAGAATAATAAAATTATAAAAGCATTATGAAAGCAACATTACCTGTAATTTCTCTTTTCATTGGTAGACTGCTTGGGCAGGAAGCACTTGTAAGCCCCATATTAACTGGTGAAGGTCCCTGCTCGTCGCTGTATACATCCAAAATTCTTTCAGATAACTTTAGAGGAAAAGGGATGAAAAAGCAATTAAACCTTTTGTGCATTCTAATTTATTTATTTGAATAAATTCTCCATTTAGAATTTGTCAGCTTGTTAATAATTTGTAATATACAATATTGTCATTTTTTAAATAAGAGGTAAGTATTCATTGACTATTTGAAAATGCATTGTGAAATGCTTGTGGAGAAGATATGCTGGGGGGAAAAACCATTTGTATTTAAGAAAAAGAGAAATCAGTTCAGGCATGAAGGAAAATTCTGATTAATATTTGCAAAGTTATAGAAATTTGAGGCAGCATATGTCATAGTCATAAATGAATACAATTAAAAACATCATGCTGGACAAAAATCAATACACATCTTAGCAAAGCTGAAAGTTCATCCTGTAGCATAAATTAAGTTTAATGGTTGAACATTTTGGGAACCTTCTTAATACCATTAGTGCTACCAGTAACTCAAAGTCAAGAGGTGTTTTACACTGTTAATTAGGTGAGACACCCTCTACTCCCTGGAAGGCATACTTTTTCTCACTGTACACTTAATGTTCTAGATTATTATAAATATCCCAGCTGGTGACCAGAAGTAGTCTAAAACTACTTTTGCCTCTAGTGAACCGGGTATATCCAATTACAGCAACACTGCTACTCTTGAAGTGCTTCTTGGGAGCAATTTTTCAGAAAAGCTAAGTTTCTTTATACAATTCAAAATTACAACTATTCACTATTCAAAATGTGCTTATTGATTTGATCTCTGAAGAAAATTAAACTTAAATAATATTCATATTTCAACTTAATATTCATTATTCCAGAATAAGCTACATTTGCCATGTAGGATTTATAATTCTAAAACATTTCCATTCTAAGTATCTTTATTCTATTTCTGGGCAGTTAACCAAGAGTTGAATAAGAAGTAATTTTTTTTCTTTCCTCAAGGATAAGGAGCAATACACATAATCAAACCAAGTCATACAAGATTATTATGGAGAATATAACTCCACATTCCCACTTTTTGCATGACTTCAATTCAACTTGAGAGAACTTTTTAAAACTTAGAAAAGTAGGCTAGAAATATCTATAAATAAAAGATATGTTAGGACCAAAATTAGTTTTTGAGATAAATCATTACAGTATATGTAGTAAATTTTTTATATTTCTATGGAAGAATTATGAAAACATAATTGAAATCCCCTAACATATAAGTTTTTATCATGTCATTAAGACAGTCTAGATTGCACTGCTACTCTGATGTATTTTTATACATTATTTTTTCCTTATTATCTTTAATAGGGCTCATACATTTATTTTATATAAATTCACTGCTTTAAAATGTATTTTTACTTTACGGATCTTGGAAGAGAGCTACTTAGGTCAGTATTTATTCCTTTTCCATTTCCTTACCTACAAAATAGAGACAAAGATGATCCAATTAGAAGAATGATGTGTTCTGGTATCAGATAAATACCATTAGGAAGAAATCCAAAAAGCAGATCTTTCCCTAATAAGTGAGTCATTTAGTCATATTTATAAAATTACGGATCTTCTGAAATCATTTTTGAGAACTTGTTGGTTCTGACCTGCGGCATCATGAGCCTGACTTGTACATTTCCACAGTGCCTTTGAGAAACGTAATGGACACACTGCACAGAAAGGCACAGAATGAGGCAGAAAGGGTTTGAAAAAAGGGTACTCATCCTCTGAAGAGCTTGAATCCAGGCGAATTTCAATGTAGAAATGGCAAATTGCAGAAATGTTAAAGAAAGCAAGACATGTTACATATACACTGTAACAAAAAGTGAGGGATTTCTAACTGTAGCCATTCTTTGGGTCCATTCTACCTGGTTAGATAGTACCCAGTGCATTATTCCTTAGAAATGGGGCTGGAATTCTGATAATGAAGCTAATCCTACTTGACTATATTACATCTTCTCCTGACCTTGGTTATTGTCTAATTTATGCCCTAAAGCAGAGTGATTAATATCCTATTTAATTTTATGCTTTAGGTACTATTCTATTTCATGTAAATGGCTAATCATTTTTGAATATCATTAGACAATTGGGTTTCAATTTCAAAGTACGTAATACACTTCATGTACTCTAAAGTGCCTTTTCTCCATTAAAACATGTAAGAGTTCCATGTTGGTAAAAATTTAAAGATTCCATATACATTTGAAAGAGCTTAGTAAATTTGTATCTACATTTGTCAAAGCTATGTTGCTTAGGAAATAAAGTCTAAGTCTTAATTTCTAGAACACTAGGCAATTGGATAAATAGATATTTTGTGAAGAAATGTTTATTCTGGTTTAAAAACAGATTGCTTTCTCTGTAAAGCAAAACCTTTGACCTGATGCTAGATGTACATTTGACATTATATTAATTACAGCCATCACAAATTTTAAAGACATAAAATAATTTACTATAAAATCTGCTCAACAAGTTGAAGAACAACTTCCTATAAGACTTTACTTCTTCCTAGTAGAAAAAGTGAACTTCTGCTCTGAGAAGTTGCTTGCAAGTAAGGTGTGACTGAGAATGATATTCGGGTATCTGAGGCTCTCTATCCTAGATTTTATTCATATTTCCAGTATTAAGATCACAGTACTAAAAAGGACTGGAGGTGGCTTTCCTACATACATCCTGTCATCTCCAGAAAATGAGCTCATGGGTCACAATATCAAAACATTTGAGGAAAATGACTATTTCAATGATAAAACAATATGTAGCACAAGAAATAATATCACAAAGTAACTCAAAAACCTAACAGATGAAACAAACTTTCTTAAATTAGTCTAAATGAAACAAAGGAAGGATCTGAAATAATTTATAATAAAAATAATGACAAGTTAACATAATAATGACCAAAGTAGTGAAGTAGAAATAGGAAGTTAAAAAAAGCATAATGGAGAACTAAGAAAGATATAAAATCATTAATAAAATATGAAACCAGATTACTATTAACCCTCCAAAGGAAGGGAAAAAAAGATCAAGAAATAGAAGAAAGAAAAAAAATCTAAAACTTTGGAGAATATAAACTACTGTCATAGAGAGAAAAACAAAACTGTAAAAAGTAAATGTTTAAGAAATAATAATGGCGGGGGCGGGGGAGAGCGCTGTGGCCTAGTAGGCTAAGCCTCTGCCTTCCATGCCAGCATCCCATTGGGTGCCAGTTTGTATCCTGGCTGCTCCTCTTCTAATCCAGCTCTCTGTTTACGGTCTGGAAAAGCAGTAGAAGATGGCCCAAATGCTTGGCCCTTGTACCTGCATGGGAACCTGGAAGAAGTTCCTGGCTCCTGGCTTCAGATCCAACCAGCTCTGGCCATTGTGGCCATTTGGGGAGTGAACCAGCATATGGAAGACCTTTTTCACTGTCTCTCCCTCTCTCTATTCGTAACTCTACCTATCAAATAAATAACATAAAATCTTTTAAAAAAGAAATAATAGGGACACTCTTCCAGGAATTAACAATAAATAAAATGCTATAGTATTTCATTTATATTTTCATTATTTTACCTTAAAAAGAAAAGTACCTAGAGAATGCCAAAGAAGAAAAAACTGCACTCGGACATGTTATAAGGAAGTTTAAGAATACATAATGAGGCCGGCGCCTTGGCTCACTAGGCTAATCCTCTGCCTTGCAGCGCCGGCACACAGGGTTCTAGTCCTGGTCGGGGCGCCGGATTCTGTCCCGGTTGCCCCTCTTCCAGGCCAGCTCTCTGCTGTGGCCAGGGAGTGCAGTGGAGGATGGTCCAAGTGCTTGGGCCCTGCACCCCATGGGAGACCAGGATAAGTACCTGGCTCCTGCCATCAGATCAGCGCACCGGCCATGGTGGCCATTGGAGGGTGAGCCAACGGCAAAGGAAGACCTTTCTCTCTGTTGCTCTCTCTCTCACTGTCCACTCTGCCTGTCAAAAATAAAATAAAATAAAAATAAAAAATAAATTAAAAAAAGAATACATAATGATTTTAAAAAAGATCTAAAAACTCATACAGGGAAAGAAAAGATTATGTACAGAGGAAGAATAGGAAAAATGAATCAGCATTCTAAAAACATGAAAAGAAAAAAAGCACAAAACAGCTTTATACCCAGACCAAATAGCTTTTACATGCAACACCATGAATAAAAAACATGTCTTAGGCATATAATTTTTAACAAGGTCTACACCTAAATAATAGAAAACATTTAAAGCCTGTAATTAAAATAATATTAAATGAAACCAATCAGATATCTGGTAAAAATGATTGTGGAATAAAAAGGTAGTAGGAAAACTAATATAAAAATCAAGTGAAATATATAACCACATAACTCAGAATTACATTCCAAATAATATCAGTATGATTGGATTGGAAAATTAGAAACCAAAGGATGTGGAAGTGTTAAGAAAGTATTAAGGAGAATATTCAAAATGAGACACAAATAAATTCAAATAAAGAAGCAGGTGAAATGATATTGATAATAATAGTCAACATAAATAGATGAAATTCTCTAGCTAAAGGGTCAACTGATTAAGAAGACTCTAAGTAGATTTAAGTAGTGTAAAAAGAGATACACTTATGCAACAAAGGTTGAAGGTTAATGAATGGGAAAAGAGGAGTGGGCTTTGTGACTCAGTGAGTTAAGTCAACACTTAGTATACCAGCATCCCATGTTGAAGTGCCAGATCGAGTCCTAGGAACTCCACTTTCATCCCAGCTTTCTGCTAATGCACCCTGAAGATAGCAGGTGATGGCCCTAGTGCTTGGGGACCTGCTATCCACATGGGAGACAGATGGAGATCTGGGCTCCTGGCTTCAGGCTCTTCCTGCCTTGGTTCTTGTCGTCATGTGGGAATGAATCAGTGGAAGATCTCCTTCCCTCATGCACCTTGCTCTGCCATTCAATGTGAAAATACATGTTTTTAAAGAGTGGAAAAAGATATAGCCAGAAAATTATAGCCATAAGAAAACTTATGTAGCTATATCAGAATCAGAGAAAGTGAACTTTAAAGTTAGAAAAATTACTAGTGT